GCGAAAAGCGGTAGCCTGCTCGCTGGCACGGAAAAATGGACGCGCGGGCACGTTGAAACGCGCGGCGTGTTAGTGTTATCGGGAGCGTGTATCGGCGCCGACAATTAACAATTATTGCGCACACCTACCCGCGAGCGACTCGGATAAGTCACGTTGCTGCGTAGAATTTATTATTACGACGTGGCGAGAGAGAAGGAGAGAGAAAAAGAGCGACGTGTGTCCTGCAAGGACGTCGCCGATCCTTCGGCATTCGTTCGGTCTCCACATTTGTTTCTTCCTTTTTGGATTCCGTGGCGAATAAACGAACCTATAAACAGCTAAATGAGGGGGATAGGGCTCTTAATTAAAAAATCCAATTATCCCTTGTGTGGACAGATATTTATGAAAGGACGGTTGGGGGGAAATTGAAAAAACTAATTTCTTCAACTTATTTCACCTTTGAAATTTATTGAAGACTGAATGAATTTCGAAGGTGAAATATGGGGGAAGAATTGGTTTTTTCAATTTCCCCGCAACTGTCCTTTCATAAATATATTGGTTTTTTGATTTTGATGAATTTATGTGTGTTTTGAGGTACAGGGTGTGGGAGTAATGGAAAACGTTCCGATTGGTTAACATAAATGAAGTGCAGTTAACATATTTAGATAAGTGGTCAAATAATTGGACGATGTGAAAATTGGTAGGATTGAGAGTTATTTGAATTGAAAGTTGTTATGAGTCAAAATTTTTAGAATTGAAAATTGAAGAATTAAGAACTGTTTGAAAAAATATTATAATTGACATTTATTTGAGGTAGAAATTGTTAGAATTGAAATTTATTTGAATCGACAATTATTGGAGTTGAAAATTCGAATTGGAAATTATTGTACTTGAAAATTGTAATTGAAAATTATTAGACTTGAAAATTATTGTATTTGATTATTATTAGACTTGAAAATTACTGTAATTGAAAGTTGTCAAAATTGAAAGTTACTTGAATTGAACATATCTTTAACTGAAAGTTGCAAAAATTGAAAATTTAAAAAATTGTAATTTATTGTAATTGAAAGTTGTCAAAATTGAAAATTTCTTGAATTGAACATTTCTCTAAGAGTTGCAAGATTTAAAAATTGTTAGAATTGAAAGTTACTTGAATCAAACATTTCTTCAACTGAAAGTTGCAAGAATTGAACATTTTAAGAATTAAAATTTATTGTAATTGAAAGTTGTCATAATTGAAATTTGTCACAATTGAAAATTACTTGAATTGAACATTTCTCGAACTAAAACTTGCAAAGATTGAAACTAATTGTAATTGAAAGTTTTCAGAATTGAAATTTATCAGAATTGAAAACTACTTGAGTTGAATATTTCTCCAACTAAAACTTGTAAGGATTGAAACTTACTGTAATTGAAAGTTGTCAGAATTGAAATTTATCAGAACTGAAAATTATTTGAATTCAATATTTCTCCAACTAAAACTTGCAAGAATTGATCATTATTGTAATTGAAAGCTGTCAAAATTGAAATTTGTCAGAATTGAAAAATACTTAATTTGAAATTTGTCAGAATTGAAAAACACTTGAATCGAAATTTGTCAGAATTGAAAAATATTTGAATTGAAATTTGTCAGAATTGAAAAATACTTGAATTGAAATTTGTCAGAATTGAAAAATACTTGAATTGAAATTTGTCAGAATTGAAAAATGCAATAATTGAAAATTGTAAGAATTGAAAGTTTTTGACTTAACAATTACTTGAATTGAAAACAGTTAGATTTGAAAATCATTCGAATTAAAAATTATTAGAACTCAAAATAATTTTCAATTATCCTTTTTCAATTATTCCATACCATTCTCCCATCTAAATAAATCTCCAACTACCACCACACCTGCCAACAAATATATTACACAAAAATAAAAAATCTCCAAAGGAAAATATCATTAATTACTCTTAATACTACACCTCTAATCTAAAGTATCAAAGTCACATATATCATAACCGATACGATCACGTGTCACATTACCGACTCCCATGTGCAATTAACGTTACGGTATTCCGTGTTTCTGAAACGCATATGCAAATGAAAATTCAGCATATCGAAATAATAA